CTGATCAGCTCTATAGGTGTTGTGTTGTGGCGTTTTTGTGCGTACCTATAAAAACGAGTTCAAGAATGAGGGAACAGCTGTCAAGTATCTGATCATCGGGTTCTACATAGGAAACATGGATTATCGATCGTATTGATTAGTGCATTGAGCAAAACTCATCAGCGAATTTTGCTTCGTCGACATTTCCACGTGTAGCACTTGATGTTTGTTTGCGTAGAACATCTTGATCTGACGCACGCACTATTGCAAATGCAAAACTATCGATTAGAAAAGGCTAACAGTGGGGAATCGATAATCAGAACAGAATGAAAATGGATCGATAAATCGATCCGAGTGATTCAAATATTTTAGACTCTTAAAAATTCGTCAACTAACTAAATTTTTCCAAATTTATGTGGTCCTTTGTTCAGTGAACTTGTGCTTTTCAGTTCATATGTGTTGTTTGTATTGAAATATTGATTTTAACTACTTTGGTCCACTTAAGGTCCCGAAGAGGGTGGTCCACCAAGGAAAAAGGTGAAATCGCCACCGGCTATTTCACCAACCGGTTCCTCTACCAGTATCTACTCCGGTGGAAGTAGCAGTATCGACTGGAGTGCGTTTTTTTTTCCTAAAATTTCCCGTTTCATAACTTTCAAGCGAACCAATCATTTTACGGTCACTTATTAAACTTAGTTATTTATAAAAATTATTTGAAAATAATCGGACATGTATGGCATTCATTAATTTTACCATACTATCACATATATTATTGAATATTCGGAAAGAAATAATAAACATATAAGAATAGAACAAAGGCCATATTTCATGCCTACTGAAACCAGTTATTAAGAAAGGCAGCTCCGTGGACATCCATATCGAATATTTGGCCCTCTGCATAACTAGGAGCCATCAAATAACTTGGCCGGTTCTTCTGGTATAAGCGCGCTCAGTTTCGTGTCGATTGTGAATCCGGAAGGCGATTTTTGTTGTGGATACATTTAGCCCGCACGCTTGAGAATACCGTATGCCATTTGGTCGTTTTATGGGGTCCATTTGTCAGTTACAGAAAAGTTACAGCGGAGCTCTGTGAAGCATGAATCACTCGCTTGGTGCAAAATGTAACGATTTCCAGCTGGAAACATCCCATGCTTCTGTTGTGTGGGAGGAGACGCCCTCAGTGAGGTTTCGAAGCGGTGTGAGACTCAATAAATGCACCTGAACCTGCCATCTGTTGACGACACCTTTGCATGCGGAAAAGAGTCAAGATCACGTTCTGAGGGGTTAAGCTTGGATCTATTCGATGAACATCCATCACTGTGATGTCTCAGCCACAAAACGGAAACATTCTAAAGTTGCTTACTAAAACACTGAAGGTAAACGCCCTTGGGGACCCAACTAAAGCATAGAGATGGGGCTTGCGCAGCGCTAGAGAGCCCCTTTCCGAGCTTTGTGAGCCTGTGGGATGAATGCTCTACACGATTCGTTTGTTGTGATAGGGTAACATCGTGGAAAAGCAGAACATTCCAGCAATTAGCATGAAACTGGTGCTACAATTGATCTTAGTCACCTATAAGACCGTACTTCAATAATGTGAGCGTCAGGAGCGATTGCACTGAATTAATCAATGACGTTTTGTTGTTGATGATCAGAACCTCAAAACGCTCTTCTCTCCCACCCCACCCATTTTTGAGAAGTAATTCTGAGAAAAAAAAAACAAGGAAGGGTTCGAAAAATTAATTCTGTCGCCTTATTGCTTTTCGCTGGTCCAACGTCACAGGATTTGTGAACCTTAATCCATTTTTGGTAATTTATTAATTCCAAACATGAGTGGTGCACAATAGGGAGAAACAAATGTGTTATTTATTTTATGGTTACTTATTCATTTAATATAAATATTTGTTTGCTTATTTAATACTGTTTATTTATTTCTTATTTTTATGATAGGGTGCACTAGTTTTGCGGTAGAATACGAAAAGGAGATGAGAGAGATTTTGATTATGAAAGAAGCCATGTCCTTGAAAAAGGAAAAAAAATGGTGAAAGATTACGAAAGGGATGATAGGAAAAAAGGATGTTCACGTAGATAGGGAACTAAAATTTAGTGCTAAAATGAGCTTGAGTAGGGCATGGAAGAGTGGGCATTAAAAGCTATAGTTGTAGTGGTATTTGTTCGCTAAATTGGCGATTATGGTGTAGTTATTAGGTTAATGCACTCTCGTGAAAACAACAAAGAGAAAGGATTTTTATTCAATTATTTAAAGATATATATTAAATAAATTAGAGTTTAAGAAAAATGCAATATTTGAAAAGAATTAAACAAAGATAAGGAAATTTAAAGCAAGGTATCGAAATCAGAAATTGACAGTCACTTCAGCACTGCTATTTGTTTGACAAATTTTTCTCAAAATCGCGTTGTTTTGGTGGACTGGGATGCGTAATAAGAGCTGTTGCTAAACAAAGAGCACCATTCTGTTGTAGCAATAGATACGTTTCAGCCACAACTGGTACCACACTGGAAATGCAAGGTACTCGAGTTACACGAACACAGTACGGTTTCCGCACACTACAAGAGTCGTCAGCCAAGATGTGCCTAAAAGTCACTGGATATCCCTTACCAGAAATCACTTGGTGAGCTAACGATGAACATTTCTGGCTTTGGGTTCTCACAACAGGCGGAGTTTTTCCTTAGTTTTCGCAGTTTTGGCCTAAGCTTCGCTCCCAGACCGAATAAAAGATTACTGTAGTTAGTTTGAAAAGGGGCATCGCGCTTGCCTGTTATAGATTTTTCAAAATTTTATTGCAGGTACAAAGACGATGTACAATTACATGAAGATGAACGGCACACGTTCTATGCAGATGAAGACGGCTTCTTTGCCCTAACAATCGATCCAGTTCAGGTAAATCGATAATCGATTCCATGCGCTCTTTGAAAATTCGGCCCTGCTATCGACTGATATTGATTTCAGGTGGAAGACACAGGTCGATACACATGTATGGCAACAAATGAATACGGTCAAGCGTCCACGTCGGCGTTCTTCCGAGTATTAAAGGTCAGCTTTTCGTGACTCGTCACAATTTCGCTCGAGATACGGTAAACGCATTGAGTTCAGGTCGAAAAAGAGGCTGCACCACCAAGATTCATAAACGCGTTAAAGGATCGCGAATGTAAAGAAGGTGATGTCATCAACTTTGAATGCGAGGTGAGCTAAAGGATTTTTGCACAGTTTTTCAGAATATTAAAAAATATTATCTGCATTTTTTTATCCTTTTCGCTTCTCCTTATCAGACTTTTTCCCATGTGGGATCTATCAATTTCTAGAGCTTCTCCAAATTGCCACTGAAGATCGCCATCAAAAATTAAGAGGGGGATGGTCCCATTGACAGTTACTCTGGAATTTTTTTTTCATTAAACTTGAAAATTGCTATGCTGAAAATTGTTATGTTTTGATCTTCACCTCAATTCCGTCACCATTTACAGTTGCGAAGAAATTCAGCAAATAATTTTAGAATAGTTTTATATTTATGTTTTAATTTTTTTATAAATTTTTATAATAATTGGAAACACTCTGCAAGTTACTCACAGAGCCCTCTATTATTATAGACTAAAATTTCTCCCCCTCTTTCTCCGGAGGAAATTTTAATTTAACTATTTCTGGTGTTTGAGCCGACATTGTGGATTTCAGGTCGAAGGTTGGCCGGAACCCGAACTCGTATGGCTTGTTGATGATCAGCCTCTTCGACCATCACACGATTTCAAAATCGAAGTACGATGGCATGAACGCGAAACTCGAGATCAGGTACGAATTCATTACTCACCGTTGCTGTCTCAAAAATCGCGCATGGTACACAACATTATTGATTGGCGCACTTTCTTTGGCACGCATTGCATTTGATGTTCTTCTTTTTGTCCATATTATTTTTATCGTGATTAATTTAATATTCATTCCAAAAATTTTCCCTCCTTCTAAGGCGCCTAGAACATTTCCTAAGCCCTCTATTTCCTTTGTTGCGTAATTTTCAATATTTTATTGACCGAATGGGTTTCAGAGACGCTCAACCCGATGACACCGGAGTGTACTGTGTAAAAATTCAAAATGAATTCGGAACCGAAGAGAGTAAAGCAAAATTGGTTGTGGTACCCGATCCGGACAAGAACCAT